CATATAAAACTGAATTATTCTGATAACACTTTTTATTATAGACTCAATTTCAATGTCTTCTTAGCTATTATCAGTATGGTTTTCTTTTAAAAATAATATTGAAATATGTACTATAAAAAACAAACAATTTTACCCAGCCACCCCAGAAGCTCCAGAATGTTTACTATGACTTAACTTTTAGTTATAGCTTTGTCTTACCTCTTACTTTTCTGTTGGTCAGATTCTAAAGGGAAATAAGTGATGTGTATACAATTTGTTGGTATAGCCTAATTGGGAATGTAAGAAATTTTATTCTAGCACTGGGCTTGATCCTTGGAGAAGGTTTTCCTTCTTCATTTGCACGCAGGACTATTCCCTCATATAACCAGCTCCTTTAAAAATTCATTGATGTCAAGCATGGAGTGGTAAGTGCAACGTTTCTCAGTGATCATTTACATGTAGAGCTTAAATGATTGCATACTGCATATTATTTATTTAAAAAAAACTGGAGGGGGTTGGAGTTATTGTTTAATATATTCATTCATTAAACATTTATTCCTGAGTGCTTATTATGTGTGTAGCTTTCCTCTAGATGATGGAGAAACAGAGATAACCAATATTATAATTGTGAACTGATGATACTGTACTTTCTTTAATAGTCACCAACTTTTCCTCTTTCCCATGTGTGACAATAATGATACATACTACACGGACAGTTAAAAACAAAAACAGATTTTCTCTGATTGAAAACTTTCAAATAGAAATAGAGACAAAAGTAAAAGTCACCTGAAATCCTTCCCCTCTCCCCAGGGATAATCACCACTAACATTTTAGTGAACTTCCTTAGAAACTTATCTCTATACTTATGCATACATAAAGATGCGCACAGGCATACACTTAGAGTACATTGATGGGATCCATAGTCCTCTGTAATCTGCTTTAACCACTTAATGTTTTCATGGGCATCTTCAACGTTAACACAATCATTATTTTAATGGATACATAATATTCCATTGACTGGATGTATCAATTTAAAAATATGCCATGTTGCTGGGCATTTAGGTTTTTAAAATTTGTAGCTATTATAAATAATGCTGGGATCAGTAAATTTGAATATAAATTTTTATAACTGTACAATCATCATCTCAGAGTCCTTTCCCATAAGTAGAATTCTTAGGTTAGAAGGTATGCTTATTTTAAATTTTGATGTACAGCCAAATTGCCTTCCAGAAAATTAGCCTTATGAATTAGCAGTCCACAAGAGTGCCTGTTTTCTGATATTTTCTCTAACACTGGCTTTAAAAAATAATTTTGATAAAGATATTTCAATCTCCTTTTAACTTTCATTTCTTTGATTATCAGTGAGGTTAAGCATCTTCTGTGTACTAGTTATTCATAACTCTTTTGTGACTTATAGTCAATTCTCATTATTCAAGGTAGTTATCTTTTCTAAAGTCTCCACTAACACTGAATCACTGAATACTGAACTATTATTGCTCCTAAGGGAAAGGGAGGGTCAGGTTCCTGTGAGCCTCTGGTCATACGGTTTTCACCAACTGATCAATATGTAAATTTGTTTTATGCGTGTTTCTGGTTAACAGTACCTTATTTAATATATATTGTTGATCCATTAACGTTGAACTTACAGCACTATAACCTGTACCTAAACAAAGCTTATCTAACAAACGTATTTTCTCTGTAAGGCACATCACAGCCTTCCTGCACTTAAGAAACACTAGATAGCACATCAGCACTGCACCTGGGGGCCATCTTAAACAGTGAAGTCATTAACAAAAAAACATGAGAATGCAGAACATGTGGCATTAAATTGGCTGCAAAAAGGACACTTTGTTTACTGTCTGAGAGCTGAAACAAGAAAGAGTGTGCTCTTGTTGGACCTCCATCGAGACTGTGCACGTCAGGTGACTCAAACTGTTTGCCACTTTGGGCATGTCCTTGAACAATCTAAAAAGTGCTGCGAGTATTGACTTTGGGGTTACATATAAATTTTAGCAAGCAAGCAAATTCTCAAATATGGAATCCATGAGCAACGAGAAGTGATTGTATTCATTTCCTTTGCCCATTTTTCTACCAGGGTGTTTAGCTTTCTCTTATTGGCTTGTGTAGGCTATTTGCATATAAGGATAGCAATTTTATAAATATTTTCTCCAATTTTGTCTTTCTATTCTATTGCTAGTATCTGTTAGTATAGTGGCTGCTGACAGCAGTATCAAATGCCTTTTGAATGGGGAGGATGACACAGTGGAAACACAACAGTGGAAAAGGAATTTTATTAAGTTTCTATTGTGAATGTGGTTGGTTTTATTTTTACCTCTCTTTCACAGGCACACCAAATTCTGTCTGGGGATTTTCCTCTAGCACCTCCAAGTTATGAAAGAACCTGTAAGTCCAATCCCAAACTACCACTTTACATTCATGTTCTGCCTTTATTGTAATTATGATCTTTATCTGATATCTTCATCCATTCCAGAGTCTGAAGTCATTTAAGGCCTTTTGCATTTTTGCCTCCTTCCTCCCATCATGCACTTTGTTACGTCATTGCACGTACCTCTCCTAACTGTAAGGATGGTAGGAAGCAGAAGTAAACAGTGGGGGGATTCCCATAGAGGCACTGCTAGCAGCAGCTCTGAAAAAGAGTGCACCTGTGAAAAGGCTGTGATGGTGACAGAAGCTGGGGGTCGGGGTGGGAGGGTAGCATGTGTGTGTGTGTGTGTGTGTGTGTGTGTGTGTGTATGTGTGAGGTAGGTAGTGTGTATGAACTATTGATTAAAAAATGGTTTAGGAATGTCTGTACAGTTCATTTATTTATACTATGATAGACTCTACCACGAGCACTTACACACTGGCTGTCTGTCTCTTCATGCCAGATGTGAGAATTAAAAAGCCAGCATCTGAGAACCTGATGAAGTACAGCTGACTAAGGAGAGAGTTCCTGAAGCATGTAAGAATCTTTTCACTTGTCACCCAACAGTGGATCCCTGGGAGTGTCAGTAATTTTGCACAGTGTAGCCGTGAGGGTGGAGGTGTGTGTGTGTTTAGAATTGGTGTGAAGGTAATCCACAATTTACAATCATGTGACAAATAGAAAAGACTATAGAAATAGGCTATTCTGATAAGCAGTCTTCCCCAAAGCATCATGAACATTTCTTGTTTAGATCTCTACAGTTATTTTGGAAACAAGCCTCAAAGAGGCTTTTAGGGACTGGAATTTCTCTCCTACGGTCCAAATTCTCATCAGTGACATCAGGGATTTGCTGGATTCCACCTCTTGTGAAAAAGGCAGTAAGTTCTCAGATTGTCCTCCCCTTCTGGGGACCCACCGTGGGTGCCCAGGGTCCTGGGCTCAGCTTCCTCATGTGCCCGTTCTGCTACCCAACATCTCCTGTCCCTGCTCCCCCTGACGTGGCCCTCCAGAGCAGGGGCTTTGTCTTGCCTTCTCAGACATTCTCAAAACCCAGTAATTTTTAACAGGATATGAAAATGGGATTCTTCTTATATCTTAAGAGTTCTGGCAGAGACTTCTAGAGAAAGAAAGAATAAAAACTGGTTTCTACAAGCACCCTACTGACTTCACCTCATTTAATATAAAAGTTACAACGATTTCTGCTATCCTATTTTGCTTATAAGATTTCTCTTTAAATTGACTTAAAAAATGTGGCCTCACCCTAAGTAATTATATTTACAATACCATGGGTTTGGTATGCTAGTTATGTGCATTAGACAAAAAAACCTGGACTTCCCTGGTGGTCCATTGGTTAAGACGCCAAGCTTCCACTGCAGGGGGCATGGGTTCGATCCCTGGTGGGGGAACTAAGATCCCGCTTGCCGCACCACGGCGAGGCCAAAAAGAACCAAAACCTGACCATTAAAATAAAAATGTTACTCAACTACCATCTAACATTATCATAAGAACCACCAGTATATATACATATCACTTTGGAAAATCCTAGTCTGTGGGCACCAACAGGCTTATCTGATAAATTTCGCTAATGGGACAGGGTTGAAACGGCCCACCTCCGTTCCCAGGTAGCTAATCTATTTAATGGTGGCCTTCCAGAAAGTTACCAGGTAACCTTCCTAGCACGGGAGGGCAGGGCTGTGGCAGGCAGTGGAGGGAGTTATGTGGGGGCATTTGAAGCTGGGCAGTCCACTGAATGTTGTATTATGCGGGCAGCCAGGGACCTCCCTTCCCTGTAGGGTTGATGCCTGCTTCTAGGAAGGGTAGCTGATTTCCTGAAAGTATATTTACTGCTAGCTGGCCTCCTGGGAGTTGCTTGGGAGAATCATGAACTATTGTTAAATAAATAAATCCCTCTTGCTGCACAGAGCTGTACTGATGCCAAGCAATTCCGCTGCCAGTGTCCGCAGCTGTTCCAGGGAACAGTTGCCTGTCTCTTCGAGGTGCTTCCCCGACCCCCTCCCCTAAAGTGAATTTTCTATACTCACAGTAGCTTCTTTTTAGTCAACAATTACCGACAAATTAATGACATTACATCCTGCTCTTGTTTATATGGTGCAACAGGCTAAAAGTACAACACACACACACACACAGGCACACCCCACACAATTAATATGGGGTGCTTGTTTGGGAAGCCTTGGGCCTAGAGTTCTGAGTAAAGAATAAATCACAACTTGTAATTTATAGGCCAAGGCAAAAATCTTAATTTGAAAAAAAATAGGCATTATATTTGGGGGAATGGGAACAAGCACTGAGATGTAAAATGTACACATTCCTGCATCAGCAGCAAGTAGGGACTGAATGAGATTTTCAGCAATAAGTAAGGACTGAATGAAAATTTCAACCATCATTAACAGTATTCTCACTTTAAAAAGTATTTGCTTGGTGTCTAATGCTTTTGGTAACCATCTTCTGCATATTTATATTTCTGGGTCCCGTTTTCAAGAAGTTCATGATGTAACACTGGAAAGCAGAGACATCCACACCCAGGAATGTCTGGACTAAAGGGATGGTAGGGAAGACAGGGGGAAAAAAATCTTACCGCTAAAGGATGATTAAGGGGCAGTAGAGAAGCAGTGAATGGTTCGGTTATTGATTCCAAGAGTTCTTGCCTTTTTTCCTCTCCTGCTTATTGATCTGGGCTTCCTGTCACAGACACAATACATGAAATAGGAAGGTTAAAGGAGGTGGAAGAAAATGCAGGAACAATCCCAATTCCTGCTCGTTACCGATGTCTTGGCAATTTAATTCCCAATTCTGTTCAAAAAAGTAACCTTAGCGTTTGGGCGAGTGCTGACAACCAGGCCATTTCTTTTTTCCAGCTTCGGGAACCATGTAATTCTACAAGCAAGACTAGCTCATCTGAAGACTCAGAAGCTGATCAATACTCCGTTTACAGTCTGGGAAGACCATTCTCATCATTTAGCTGAGTCGGAAAACGAAGCCACAAAGCTGGAGGCCCAGAGCTTGCTTAATTAACGCCTTTGAGGTATGAGAGGGCCCGGGAAGACCCGGACCCGGGCAGGTTAGCTTTCTTGGGGACTTGCCGGGGCTTCAAACGCCTTCATCCCTGTTTGTTTTTTCTCTTAAATTGGAAGAGGGGACAAAAGTCATCGTTATAATCATTATTAAAATTTCCTTTAAAATAAATACTTGGAACCACACTTCTCTGCAAGAACCACAGAAATGGTGGTGTGGCCCCGACAGCTGTCGTCTCCAGCGTCCAACGAGCCAGCCCCTTCCGTCCGGGGGTCCCGGGCCGGGAAGGGCGCAGGGGCGTGAGAAAGGCTCTTTTGTATTCAGAGCAATAGCCGGCAGAGCTGCAGCCTTGCACCGCCAGGTCTTCCTCCGCGCGAGGCGCCGCCAGGAAGCAAGCTGGCGAGGAGGGGCGGTCCGCGTCGCGGCGGGGGCGGAGCCTGGGGGCGGGGCGAGTCGCGGCCTTTCTCGCCTCGGCTCCCTCCGGAGTGCCCTCAAGCCTCCATAAGCCCCTCCCACGTCCCGCCCCGCCCACGGCCCGGCCCCTCCCCGCCGCCGTCTTGGTCTCCCGGCTCCTCCCGTGCGCTCGCCTCCCGTGCGCTCGCCTCCCGCCTCTCCGCAGGTCCTCCTCCTCCCTCCAAGATCCTCCTACCCCGCTGGATCTAGTGTCCGGCCCCTTCTCCTGCTCTTTCTCCTCCGGCTCTGCGACCCTCCTCCCCCTGCATTCCCACCGCCATCCTCCTGCGCGCTGCCCCCGCCCGCGCCGAGCGCGCTGGAGGGAGGGCGCGGAGACCCTGCGTGCGGGAAGGCAACGTCGCTGTCCCGGGCGCGAAGGGCCTCCGCTGCTGCTGTCCCACCGGGGGACGCCGAACTACGTGTGGTTACGGAAGTAGCTGCCTCCTGCTACACCTCTTCCTCCGCGCCCGCGCCCGGCTCTCTGCCCGGTGCCCCGTTTACTCCCATTTACCAAGCCGTCCTTCTCTGTATGATTTCTGTTAAATAGAAAAGGTAATTAAAAGTCGCATACCACCCCTACATACCCATGCCCCCCCCCCCCGCCTTCCCAAACCTCCTAGTGGTTATTTTTGTTCTTTAGCCCAAGTTAGGCTAAATACCTTCCCGGAAAGCCATCTGGTCTGATTCCCGGGATCCCTTCGTATGGTTTTTTTAAGGTCTCCAAACCGTGCTTTGGAATGCTGCCTTGGAGCCACTCGGAAACCTTCAGGGTTTTGCCCTGGCCAGCCTCGTGGAGAGGATCTCGGGCAGAGGGAGGTGACGGCCTCTGTTGAAGGTCTAAATACCTAAGGGTCCTGGTCTTGTGCTGTAATTAATACGTTTTACTACTCCAAGAAAACACAGTTCTCTATGTTAATAGGTATTTATTCATTCTTTCTTTCAGTGTTTGTGTTTGTGTTTTTTTTTTCCCGGGATGCAAAGCATAGCTTAATAGAATACTCTTTAAATTCTAAAACCCGGTGTGAACAGCTTTACGGATGATTTTACAAAATAACCTGGCCACAGAAATTCAGTTTGACCAGAAACATTTATACGGTTGGGTCTACACCTTCTCCCTTTCTGTCCCCCATTCCTCTGCCCCCTAAAGACAAAAAAACAAATGTTAGCCTCTGGAAAAATATTCCCATACACATGGGTTGGGGTTTGTGGTCTAAGAAAAAAGGGAACAGATAGGTTCGTAGAATCATAGTGTTGTAACTGGAAAGTTCCTTAGAATTCGTCAAAAAGTAGTCTGTCGGTTTATTAAGGAGACTCAGAAAGTGTAGGGGTTTACAGAAGATCCCATGGTTTATGAGTAAAGGACTAACTGAGACCTGGGGCCTCATTTGGGGAGGAGACTGACGTCATGTGCTTTATCGCATACAGAGAAATGACTGAAAAAAATTCAGTTCAGTGCTAGCACATTCCCTGTCTCTCTGTCTCTCTCTCCCCTGCCTTTTACTCTGCCCCTCACTCTCTGTCCTGCTCTGGGTCTTGCCTATTTGGGGAGTTACAGCCCTTTCTTCCTTCCCCTAACCTAGGCTTCACTCCTTTCTTTTTTCCTTTCCTTCCTACCCCCCCACCCCACCTGAGCCCCGACCATGAGATTTTATTTGAATTTTTAAAATGAAACCAGGTGCTGCATAAAACAAAAGCAAAGTAATAGCAAGGAAAGACTATCCAACGCGTAAGGAATGTGCTGAGTTTCATGACTCAGGCTGTCCTGGCAAAGAGCTTCGACTTACACGGAGAGGTGGGTGGCACAGAGCGAAGACCATACATGGCAGCCCCAGCCCCCCCAGATAGGCATGATCAAGGCGGCCTGAGACTCATTGCACAAAACCAAAGACTCTTGTTCCTGGTGAAACAAGATTTCCCGAGACTAGAACCAAACGATCATCAAATTTTCCCAGAGAGGCCAGTTCAGGCTGACATAGCAGAGGCCACCCTGAGGTTTGGAGGGGAAGGGAGCCCGGGCAGAAGGCCAGCCCTGGGAAAGAAACTGGCTTGGTGGACCTGGGCTAGGGTTTTGGTACATTGAAGAGATGAGTAAACTGCAAAGTGACATGAAAATTAGCATGAACTGTTGTGGAGACAATGGCTCCCGAGCTCCAGGTGGCAGGATTGCCACAGTGCCTTGGAGTAGGGGAGTATGACAGCGCTGCTGGGAGCCCAAGGGGGGTTTGCTCTTGGCGGAGGGTGTGAGGTGAAGAGCGCAGGAAAAGCGGGTCAGATGCTGGCAGGGTTTCTGGGGTGCCCTGCTTCATGCAACCAGGAGCGGATAAAAGCAGGAGTGGTGGACTTGACATGCACACTCCCAGACACCCAGACACACATCCTCACGTTCTGAGAATGCTTCTCCAGTGAGCAGAGTAGTGGGCTGAGGTGTACATTTTTTCTGTTACTAAGGCGGGCAGAGAGAGCTGAGAGCAGTAAGGAGCGGGTCTCACCTGGCAGAGGTGGTGGGAGGGGTCTGAACTTGGGTGACGTGTATCTTCTTGTGCTCCCTTCATCACACAGGCCTGGGCCGAAGGAGTCCAACAGAGCTTCCTCTGGTTTCCGCCACCCCATTGACGGCTGTCACTTTCTGAATGAGAATGAACCTGGACTGGCATAAATGAGATCTCCAAGCAGAGCCTCCTGGGAAGGAGCCTTATTTTTTCCTTTTCTTCTTTTTCTTTTCCTTTCCTTGGAATACCCGTTGAAAAGCTGCAGCGACTATTCTGTAATGGCGGGAAGAGCTCTGCTTAACTTTTTCATTAAAGTCTACTTACCTGGAAAAATAAAGTCTTTTAAGGACCATGACTACATAAATATTTATAGTGTGAAAGGCGTCGCTCTGGTTCCGCAGGAGAATGGGCTCCTTCAGTTTTATTTATGATATGACACTTGGGTGAGCGACATCTATCATCTGGGTCGGCCCTACACTCTGTTCCACTGAAGCATGTTTCTGGAGTGATTATGTCTGCAAATATTTGCTGTATTTAGTCCCTCTCTTCCCTTAACCCCCTCTTAGCCCTTTTAACTCCCCAAACCATCAAACAGCCAAGCTTATGGTCTCAGGAAGATTTGAACCCCAATGACAAGGCACAGGGGCTGGAACAGTGTTGTAGAAGCATTTGATGAGTTGGGAGGGAATTAGAGTGGGAAGGATGAGTTATTATAGCATCTCCACACTAAGTTGGTTTATGGGGCCTGTGTCTAGCAGGTGAGGGCTCTCAGCTGGGCATGATGGGTTTTGACAGGGGATGGCCACAGCCCTGAGTGATGAATGCAGATAGATCCTTATGAAACTTTCCTTCGTAGGGAACTTTCTCTGGACAGGATCTCACAGGCCCTCAGATCCGTCACCGTGCACCCCAGGGCTGTGAGGGCAGGGGTTGGTGGGAGTTCTATGACCTCAGCTGCATCAAGGTTTCTGGTATAACCCAAGTCTGCCGCAACTGGTCCCTGGCTGGAGGGCTGGAGCTGCCCTCCATCAGCTGTGGAGAAGGGAGGGCCCCCTCTGGCTTCTAGCGTTACAGCTGCACATGGCCGCACCTAGGCATTCCAGGCTGGACCTGGGGCTCAGTGCCTGCTTCTGATCAGCTTGGCCACCTATTGTTTATCCTGGGAAGGGCCAGATCTTGGCACAGGGGGCTGAAGTGTTGCCAGCATTTTATTTTTAGAGACAGGAAAATGTTTGCTTTTCAACAGCTGCTCTTTCTCTGGCACACACCGGGGTGGCGTCAAAAAGTTCAGGCGAGAGATTCCAAGCCCTAAATTCATCGTGTGTGTCATCATAGGCAATAGCACCATAGACCTCTCAACAGAAGCCTTTGTGGAGCCTACGATCTTTTATTAGCAGGCCTCTTGCACAGAGTGGGTCCCTTTGGCTACATCCTGGCAGCGAGAGTTTTCTAGTCCCCAGCCCTCATAGCCTGAGCGCCTAACGAGTCCCTTTTCGGTGCACCAGCTGGTCTGAAATTTTATAGTTCTTACTTCTGTTGAGCTCCTTCCCTACCAATTCATAATCTAGTCCAACTTGGCAGGCAGAGTAAGAAAAACAGTCTGCTAAACCTGACATTCATCACCCCTCCTCAGAGCCACTATCATTATCCTCATGATGATTTGGTGCAAGGCAGTCAGCTTCCATGGCAAGAAGAGCGTTACCACCCTCAGGAAGGGCAATTCCAGGTTTTATTGGAATTATTATTTGTTCCAACATGGTTCCTCTTAAAACATATTTTTGTAGGTCCTGTGATTGTGGCTACTGACAGTTTATCTGAAAGCATTTTGTAAACTGTGATGACATATTATACAAAGGTAAAATGGAATGGATATAAAAGTAAAGAATTAAGTTGTATTTCCTATTTTTCTTTCTCCCCAATCTTTTCAAAAGTTACTTTTTAATTACAAAAATAAAAAATGAATATATTCTCCTGGATTCATTTTTCTTCTAGCTGGAGTACATTCTCTGGTAGGTTTTCCTTTGTTCTTCTCCTTTCTCCACCAGAGAGTGTCTGTGGATAATACATTTCCCTGAGAATTTATTTTCATCTCCAGTGTTAGTTTGGCTTGTTATGGAACTCTAAGTCCAAATTCATTTTTCCTGAGCATTTCTAAGCTATTGTTCCATTATTTTCTTGAAACTTCTGTGGTTGATCTCACTCTCACTCCTTTGTAGACTCTTTTAGCGCTGTCTTTTTCACCTTGGTGTTCTGGAGTTTTATTATGATGTCTCTGTGTGTGAGTTTATTTTTTAAGTTTATCCTCTTTGATACTGATAGGCTCTTTCAATCTGAAGCCCCACACCTTTAGTTCTAGGATGTGGGGTGGTGAGGAATAAACCGGAAAGGTTAAATTGATGTATATAAAAGTTCTGAGGAGGAGAGAGAAGTGGCTATGTGGCCTGAACATTGGGCAGAACTTTAAGGGGTTCTCGAGAGAGTGAGAAGAGTAGGTTTGGAGGAGTTTGTCAATGAGGTGAGGAAAATGTCCTAAAAAGATCTTTAAGATCTTTGGATATACATCAAGAATGTACTCCCTTCTTTGGTGTTTTACTTGAATTGCTGTTAATTATATTTTTTCTGTGGGACTCTTTTTCTGGGATTTGATGCTGAAACTGAACCATAAGACCGCCTTGGGTTAATATGACTTATAGAAGACATGATTATTTTTATAAATTTTTAAGCAAATATCTTTGTTTCATTCTGTGTCTCTCTCTCCTCTCTGACCTCCCCCCACCCCGTACATGCCACGGTTTCTTCTTTTATATAATGAGGAAATGAAACTAGATGCTCCAAATTCCTGCCATTTCTCTGTAACTCTCATTCTCTCTCTCTTACTCATCCTTCAACTACCTACCTAAATATGCCTTTTCATGACGAATAGCTTATAAGAAGCATAGGCAAATAGTTTGTTCCCTCATTCCTGTAATCTAATTTGTCACTCAATGAGCTGTCCTGAATAGATCATACATGTGGACAAACGTGGCAGAACAGCGGCCAAGCTTATAGCAGGTCAGGACCCTAGGCTTACGGTCTGGTGTATGAAGCTCTGCCGTCCCCCGCCTCACCGCTCCACCCCCAGAAGCTTACTATTCTAGCCTGAGGAATTCATTCCATAAATTCTCTCAGTCCACCCATTGGGGTTTGTATGTGGCATACAGGAGAGAGGTTTAGGAAAGGCTCAACCCAGAGTATCTTTGAGCAAAGGAAAAGCAGAAGATGCAAACAAAATTATTCTTCCTGAAACATAATCATTGGGTTGGTTTTTACTTATCGTGTGCGTGTCTTACCTTTTGCAAAGGACTACAGATAGTTATTAAACGTTTAAAAATATGAGGAATACAGGTGTTGACACTGAGCTTCCAAATTCTCCTAGGAGATTTGGGTTGCATGGGGGCCGTTTCTTCGACTTCTAATATACACACTGAAGTGTTTGATATGAAGAGACGGTAAGAGAAGAGAATGTCATCTGAATTACTCACTCTCCTAACTAAAAGGTAATCAGGGCTTGAGTAACCCCAACTACCACGTAGCCTCAAAACCCCTGACAGATACGGAGCTCCTCGTTGATAGATGCTGGCATTCTCACTAGCATGTTAGACAGGCCTAAGTAAGTAAGAATGCAGTATATCCTATTAATATCGTTTTGATGTGTCATGTGGCCCTTTTCAGATGACTCCATATGTAGCGATTGAACTTTGGTAGGTGGATGGCTGGTGGTCTTGAGTTAGGGCCAAGATGGGAATAAACTCTCAAGTACTGGAAGCCCATCAGGGTCGGCTCTGCTGACCTCCGTTATTCTAGACTGAGGAATTGTTCTGAGAATATAGGGCAGGCAGATGAAAACGGTCCGCATGGATCCTCAAGGGAATCAGGCATTTCTTCAAGCTGCCATCAGCGTTTCTTCTTTTCTGGAGTGCAGGGTTTCCTCCACTCTGTGTGCAACCAGTGTTCCATCTGTCTCCAGAGACGGGGATGTTTTCCAAATTATAGATATCCCCCTGCCTTCCTGCAACAAAGTGACAGTGTGAGGTTTTTAAAACTGCATTAAGAACCATGCATTTACTTTATATTTTCAGGATTCTGTATTTTCAATTTTTGTTTCATCTATAATTGTGTCTTCTCTTTCCTACATTTTCCTTCATCTTCCCTCCCACATTTATGTTAAACAATGAATGCTCTATATATTTGCAGGTATATACTCTTCTGGAATTTGGTACCCAAGAAGAGAATCCAATTTTAAGGGGAGAGGTTCTGAAATAATCACTACCCCTTGTTTTGAAAATTTAAGTTTTCATATAATAGCATTTGTACAAGCTGGCCCACCTCTAGAGAAACACGTGATAAGTATCTAGCAGATGTCATGATGTCATTACTGCAAAGTACTCCCCTTAAAAACCCTTCCATTTTCACTTCCTCTGGATTCACTGCTTTAATGGAAGAGCCCGCCAGGGTGACACATACACTTTGCTTGTCAAAGTGTGGTCTGTGAGGCCCTGCCAGATGGTCTCCTTCAGAATAAACGCTTTCAATATGATAATATTTATATTTGTGTTTCTGGCATGAATTAATAATTTTCTCATGATATTTAATAAGAAACAGATTATTTCACTTCCAGCTCATAAAACCCCGTACCTTTCTTTCCATTATGTCTGACGAGGGTTATTTTTTTCCTGTTGGTGAGCTGGCAGCAGGCATGGGGGGGATCACTGAGTTGTAGCTCTTTTAGCCCAGCTGAGTGGTGTGCATCCCGGAAGGGTTGGAGACCCACTGCTCTCCACAAAGGTGGGGTTTGCAACGCATCAGAAAATGACAGTCAGGGTAGCGTGAGACCAGGGCTCTGACATAAACAATCACGTTTAAGCTTCAGGATTTACCCCTGAGGTCTAATCTTCTGGAATTCGGTGACTGAGTCTGTCCTCTCTGGCCATATCCATCACGTGTTTTTTTTTTGTTTTTTTTTTTTTAACCGGGCTGCACTGCATGTGGGATCTCAGTTCCCCGACCAGGATCAAACCTGTGCCCCCTGCAGTGGAAGCGTGGAGTCTTAACCACTGGACCATCAGGGAAGTCCCCCCCCATCATGTCGCTTAAGAGACCTATCATATTCCTTTCTAAGCCTTCATCTTTTCACACTGGAATCCTTATTATTTGATCATTCTGGCCACAGTAGTGGGGGGTGGCTTTCCACCCCTTGACCATTTTTCTTTTTTTGCACTTCTCCAGACTCTTGTATTTAGGGGAAGTACCACTAAATTTCACCCATGCAGCCCTTTTCCTGCAGATGTCTTTGACTGACAGAAACTGGTCCAGGCAGATAGCAAGAGCAGGGATGGTGTGAAGACAGACCACCTGCACTTCACAGGATGAATTATACCAAAAATGATGAGGAAAATTGGTTTGAAGCACGGCTGGGATTGTAAGACCAGCAGCTTTCTCTTCTCTTCGAAGGACTGCGAAGTAGGGATGGGGACAGGTTAGATCTCCCTGAGAGGGAAGGGATGGTTTGACATCTTTGGGCAAGTACGAGGCACGCATGATTTTTTTTTTTCTTTCACTACCAAACTTCATACAAGAGTAGACTTTTCTCCTTGTCACCAGCTGCTCACCATCAATTCATTCTTTTTTTTTTTTTTATTTTAGATGGAGAATTTTAATTAAATTGGCATATTTAAGACCAAAAAGATAAAGTGGACATTGTCAGTGTATCTTCAGCCCTTGCCTTAACAGGTGAATGAACACAACTTGAAACACAGGTGAATCTTGCTGGTCTATGAGACAGTGAAGGGAGCTTCTCAATATTTAAATATATTAATATAACCAGTTATAGAAATCTAAATATAAAACCAATCTCCTATAGGGTTTGAGAAGGCATTCACCATATCCCTGAAAAGTTTAACATTCCTTTTTCAAGTTTAATCATCTCTTTAGAAGGGGAAAACACTGACAGTACTTGCTGAACAAGAATTACTATCAAAATTCAAAAAGCTGACCATATTCATTTAGCCACAAGCCAATCTTATTTAAATCAGGACAGAAATATTACATCAGCTATTCATGACCTGAATTCTAGTGTATGAGATCAATTTAAATATGGTACACATAAAAAGTCATGAGACAGCTGTTTCATAATAAATAAGGCAGTGGCCAACTATTACTCATTAGTAGCTTTTTTGAGATAAGCTATCAAGTCTGCCCTTTCTGACTTCTTCTTAATGCCAGCGAAGATCATTTTTGTTCCAGGGATGTACTTCTTGGGATTCTCCAAATACTCCATCAGCGTCTCCTCTCCCCAGGTGATGCCTTTGTTCTTGTTGGCATCTGTGTAAGAGAATCCGACAGCCTGACCTGTCTTTCGCCCAAACAGACCATGGAGATTTGGCCCAGTCTTGTGCTTGCCTCCCTTTTCCACAGTATGGCACTGGGCACACTTCTGAACAAAAATCTTCTTGCCCTTCTCAATATCACCCATTTTTAAATCTCTCCGAGGTGCCTGAGCAGGTTAAGGGGGGAAGCGACAGGTGGCCAGGAAAAGTAATGACTTATTGGAAGAGCAGCAGCTTTTGCTCTCTTGGAAAGAGGACGTGACGCGCTGCGCAGCGTCCACCGACTCCCGCCCTCACTCCGGAGGAAATCTTGTCTATCACTGCCATAGCCCCGCAGTCCCGACAACGGAGGGCCCGCGTCTCAGAAGGAACCGCGAACAAGCCGCCTCCGAGCTTTCAGGACCGTTCTTTCTCCGTGTACGACTAAGCCGTTCCCGCTCACAAGCCAAACGTCCCGCTCTGTAATCCCAAGGACACCCAATTCATTCTTTAACCTGTTGGAATTTGGTTTCCACCCCCAACCTGTCACTGACACTGCATCCTGAAAGATCACCAAGGACCAGCACATCGGTAAAGGCTGTGCAGTTCAACCTCGGCCTCCTCAACCTTCTGTGGAATCGCATATGTGGCCCTCTTCCCGCGGCTCCTTCTAAGTGCTGTGCTTGGCCGTGACTTCTCTGATCGTTGTTGCTCGGTCTCCTGTGTGGCCTCCTCCCCCTGTAAAGTTGGCGTCTCCCAGGGTTCTGTCTTTGGTGCCTTTGTTGTTGTTGCTCTTGCTGTAGTCACCCTCGCCGCTGGCTCCAGATACCACCATTGTGTCTACAAGTCTGATCATGAACTTTCTTCCGATCTCTAGAATACCTTCTTCACAGGCTTTTCTACCTGAGAATGTCCTGTTCAGAGAGGAAATTATTGTGAGACACCTGGCAAGGATGCCGAGGACCTGCGCCAGGATGTGAAGAGGGGAAATACAGGAGAGATTCATACAAGTCTTGGCAGATAAAATGAACAGGAATTTGATGGATTCGCGGTCCAAAGCAAGGGAGGAAGAGAAAGGAAGAGGAGAGACAGAAGGAGGCAAAGCTGACCCCAAGTTTTGGAGCTCGAGTAACTTGGAGGGTGGGTGTGCCCTTATTGGTCTAAAGAACACATGGTTAAGGGGCAGATTTAAGGGAGAACATGGTGGCTTCAGCTCAGGATATTTGAACCTACCACATCTCTCTGGTTCATTTTTGTCTCTCGAGTCCTCCTTTTGCAGCGCTGCTAGAATTATCTTCCTAAAACACAGGTCAGATCCTGCCATTCTCCTCCTCAAAATGTTTTCTTAGCTCTTATTAACTAGAGAGTCGTTTAGATGTTCAGGCTCCTTAACAAGGGATTCGAAGCCCTGCACAAGCTGGCTTTGTTTGGTTTCATTATAATCTTCTAGCACAACAGAACCCACCATGCAGTTTCTCACCTTCTTGCTTTTCCTCAAGCTGTTCTCTCAATCTGGAATGCCTTCCCCACTTTTCCCGCCTCTGAGAATCCTACTCAGCCTTCAGATTGCAGTTGGCATGCTCCGTCCCCCACAAAGCCTCCTGTCACCCTGGTTGGAAGTAGTCACTCTTTATTCAATATTTCTATAGCAATTTATGAGTACTTTTTCCTGGTATTATAATGCATTTGCTCAAACGTGCATTTCTTCTATGGGTTGGTAGATGTCTTAAAGCTAGGGAATGTATCTTACTTTATCTCTGTTTCTTACCAGCTGCCAGCACATGACTTTCCGCATATTGGTTGCTCACTTAATAATGAATGAAAAGGAGAGAAATTGGTCAAGGTTAGAGTGGAAGCGGAGTCTGGGGTTTGCGGGGAGAAGTGATTGGTCGGATGGGCTTGGGTTTGCTTTAGAACATGGCAACTGGGGTGGAAACTCTGGGTTGTGGAGAACAGGTGCAGAGAATAATAATGAGGGAGGCGGTGGATTATGGGTAATGTGAGGAGCTCATATTTAAAGGCAGGATCCCGTGACACAAGATCACACGTAAACACAATTTAGCGTTCCTCACAGGCAGACACGCCAAACTGTAAAGTCCTTCATCAACGGGAAATTATTATTCTGCTCATTTAAAAAGACACATTGGCCTCTTTGCATAACCAAGATTCCTGCATATTCAGTGATTGCTGCCATGTCTATTGTCTGATGCCATAAAGAGACGGGACCTTGACCGATAGTATGGTGATGACCCATTGCTATGCCCGTTTATTTAATTGTAGAAAAGATGGGTAAGGGCATATTCTGATTAACGAGATTTCTTTGACCCTTAATTATTCTTTTCATATGTTACTCTTTCATCAACCTGTATTTATTTTCAGCAGTACAAAGGAAAAATGAAAAGTACTATCTTTTAATATTGTGAATTCCAGAATAAGAAAATTTATGGTCTTCCTTCTGGATGCTCTCACACAAATGCATATCTATAATGTTTATATCTGTACTGTGTGTGTTCTCTATGCAGTCTCTCTATGTTCTATGTAACCACGCTTAGCCCAATCTTCCATTAGTGAAAGGACTGCCAGTTGTGGGTTAGAGATGGAAAGAAACAGGTGAAATATCTGAACATTTCAATTTTCAGTCAGTCGTTTTCCATGAGGACAGATACCTCGCTGTTCAGCCCCAGGTTCCCCTGGGAGATACAAGTACAAAGAAAATGCCAGGCGAATGTAACTTTTTTATTCCTCAATGAGTTCCGGCTACCAACCCCTTTGCTGGACCTGCATTCACGAGAAGTTGGGACCTAGGAGAGCCACCAGGATGCCTTTTGCTTGGGCTTCAGGTGGCCACCAAGTCTGGGGGATGGCCCCTGGCCGCTGGCCTCGTTCTGGGCTCTCACGGGGCTCTCCCAGGTCAACGAGGCTCTCTGAGGTGGGAGACAGCCCATGTCCCTGTCAAGTGATTTCCCCTTAATCAAGTCCTAGAAGGGCTCAATCTCGTTAGAGAAATCAAAAAGCAAACCCCAAAGGAGGGAGGATTCTAAAGAGACTGCGCCATACAGGTGAGAGGGCCTTTATCTGCTTCTCATATGCCACATCTTCCCTTCCGTAGCGCCAGGACCCAACACTGCCTTGCCTCTGCCCAGCTCCCAGTGGAGGAAAGGAGAAGAGCTTCAAGCTAACCTAATAGGTTGGATGTGTAGCCAACGTTGGTTTAGAGGCTAAAGGGACGCCAACCTTTAAGCCAAATATGACCATTTTATAAGACACCTATTGTCCTGCGTCTCACAAACTCACCTTATGACTCCAGCCTTTGCTGTAGCCACCAGCTACGGTCAGGTGGGATTGACAGCCCCTTCCCTTGGCTTCACCAAGCAGCTCTTGCTTTCTGCCCCACTGGCTTCTTGGCCACCTCTGTGGCTGTCTGTGGGGACCGACTCAACCACTGCAAATCATGGGCAAAGCTGGAAGTGCAAGGGAGTTCACACTCTCTGCGGCTACTCCGGCCGCTTCTCCCTTCTCTCCCTTGGGCTGTCAATTCTGAAATACATTTACACAGCTCCGCATGAGGTTTCCCAGACGGGTTGCATCCCAGTTGTTCACAACGATGACTAGCTCACCGATGTGCCCTGGGATTGGCTTTCCCCTCTTAACTTGCTTCACTCATCTAGTTTCCCACCTTTATTTCTGGAATTTCTTTCCAAAATAAATGTCAGGGTTCAGCTTTTTAGTGGAACCCAGAAAAGAGAGAGAGAGGCTACAAATGCTGATTAAACCCATTGCATGGAGAATGTTCTAATAGACATTCTGTTTGAAGTGGGACATAAGGGGAAAGGGGACTTGATGGTCTCTTTTTATTTTTTTAAGATTTTTTTGAGGTGGACCATTTTTAAAGTCTTTATTGAACTTGCTACAATATTGCTTCTGTTTTATGTTTTGGTTTTTTGGCCACGAGGCATGTGAGATCTTAGCTCCTCGACCAGGGATCGAACCCGCACCCCCTGCATTGGAAAGCTAAGACTTAGCCACTGCACCGCCAGGGAAGTCCCTGATGGTCCTTTGTAATACACACTGAGAAGTCTGTAGACCACTAATTAGGAATTGCAGTTAAATAAATATAAGAGAACACTGAAGCCAAGCGATGGCATCTCTTATCTAGAAATCTTTGAGACTGGAGAAACATCATTCTAGAGTTCAGGCTGGAGGATGCCTAGATAAATTTCTCAGGTCCTAGCCCAGTGTTTACTCTTTTAGTTTTGCTTGTCTGATGACGGGGACCGATCAGTTATTTTCCTGTGTCTCTGTAAGACACATGGAGCCTTTCTATCCAATGGAAGCACCTGGAAGCTTTGATAATGTGCTTAGAGTTCTTGGGCTGAGAGTCTGTCTCAAAAAGTGGCAAAATGAGAATAGTATCAATATATTCTTTCATTATGTTAAAACTAAAATGTCTTTCATTACCTGTTAAAAGAAACCATTTGCTCTTCCCCAGAAAAACATCTGAAACGTGGTCGGCAGGAGCTTAGCGGGCACAGCTGCACTTGAGGAGGTTGGAAGCAGGTGGTGGGAGAAGGAGGGTGCAGAGTTAGAGAGATGAAGATGGGCAGGGCAAGACCTTTCCATCCCCGCCTGGCTACCCGCAACTCATCTCACCAGATCAAGTACCCATAGTTTGGCAAAATATGTTTAAGCCACCCTCAAGATGACTGCAGGGAATCCAAGCGTGATGACTTGGTGTTTAATCAGAAGAGACACATTTTAGGCCTCCCAAACTCTGAAGCGGGCAAAAAAGTATTTTTAGTCATTGTTTTCTCCCTTAAGTCTGTTGTGGCTTGAAAATGTTGAGGTGTCATTTTTCGCTATAACTGCCCTGCAAGGATTCTGCTTTGCGACCACTTTTGCTTCAAAGACTACTGACTTTTGCTTGTTTAGAAAGAGTAGTGGAATCTGCGTATATTAGATGTTATCTGTTAGGGCGGAAGGGGTCTTAGACACCATTTAGTTCGATCTTTCTTTTTATAAGGTGCTTTCGAGTCAGACTTCAAACTCAGGTGATCAAACTCCACGGGAATGTCTTTTGTGGTTGGATAACATTATCTGTAATCCAGATATTCTCACTAAATAGGGCAGAAAGCCACCTGTAGGGGAAAATACTTTAGAAGTATGAACTGAGATAGATTCTGTGTTCTAGTTCTACAGTTCTATTGAAAACTGACAACGAATTAACTATACTTACCTTAACTCCATCAAAAAAGGAATCCTAAGGGGATACAGCAATTGATTTTCCTTTTCTCCTTTGCAGCTCCTATGAACATGAGCAGAATTTACATTTTCCTCTTTTACAGATCCAGCTATCAAGAAAGAATGATGGGGCTTCCCTGGTGGCGCAGTGGTTGGGAGTCCGCCTGCCGATGCAGGGGACGCGGGTTCGTGCCCCGGTCCGGGAAGATCCCACATGCCGCGGAGCGGCTGGGCCCGTGAGCCATGGCCGCTGAGCC